CKSWACCACCACAGGAAACCCATACTCCGCTCGAATAGGAAACAAAGCGCCAAATATTTGTTGAAAAATAGAATTTTTTTCCTTAAACATTTATATTACATATTGATAATATTAGAACAATTAATTACAAAGAAAAAAATCCACAGAAGAGCGAAATAACAGCACAGAAATATTTCCGCCAATTTTGTCATAACTTCGACGCGTCCGCACATCCGTGAAATCGATTTGCGAAGATGAAAAGCAATTTAGGCCCATCTTAAAAGTGATATTAGAAAAAAAAGGTTTACTTTGATATTTCGACGACAAGAAAGAGATGATACTTTATTGGAAATACTTCAATAATATGGACCAATATGGGAAAAAGCAGGGATCTATGCGAAGTTCTTTTGTCGACTAAAAGTGTGGACATTTGGAAACCAAGACCATGCTAGCAGTTAGATGGAGAGATTAAAAACAAAGAATCTACTATACAGTCTTGAATGACTTAATAAATAGATGAAACCTATGCTTGAAACAAGTATGGCTCTGTTGAAGATGACCTTTGAACGATAATTTATCGGAAGTTCGATAATGAAGGTAAAAAAAAATTGTATAAATTTTTCTGTTATATGTGAAGTTCGAGTAGTCCGGGTTCGAACATCGATTATTGAAGCAGTGTTGATTATTGTAAGCTTATGTAGACTACTTTTTGCCGAGAAGATTTCAGTTTACTTTAAATCAATTTACCTTTACAGACTATTATATTAAACTTCATCCAACGGAACAAAATCTACCGAAGTCAATATTAGTACGAACTAAACTCTCATAAACATACTCTTTACAATATTTGTTGGCATGTCAACAAAACTGTTGTAACTCACATTCCTTAGAACAGTGCATCTACCTTTGAAATAGCAGTACTAGATAATCTTTTTCAGCTTCTATATTGCTATTGGAGCTCCGCTATTAGGTGTTACCTAATTTTTATTATAAGTAATAGCATGGCTCTGAGGGAGATTAGGGATTAAATGTCCCTCAGCCTCGGGCAGATAAGTAAAAGTCCCTCCGGCCGCAATCGTCCCTCATGTTATTATGCATGAGGGACGATTACTAGTAATCGTCCCTCATGCTATTCATGAGGGAGGGATATTCGCTTGTAAACATCCCTCGGAAGACAAAAGAATCCGAGGTGATCATGGTATTACAACCGTAATACTTAATAAACTGAATGTCCCTACAGCTGTCTTCTTTTTAACTCTGCAATGAACGGTCTGGTTATCGTCTCAGACAAACTGAAATGTGGGATGATTTTTTGGCCAAATTGACCAAGTAGCTCTGGTTCCGAGTCTCTATGTGCACTTGACGAATTTCAATGTTTGATAACTAACTATTAGACCTCGAGGTCGAGTGGACTACGAGCTAATAGCTCATGAGTCCGCGAGTCCGAATGGGCTATTAGCTCGTGATCCACGAGGCCGAGAGGTCTAATTGTTTTAGTAATATAAAAATTAGGTAAAACCTAATAGCGGAGCTCCCAAATAGAGATATGCAATGCATGTTGGATAAAAATGGGATACAAGGCACATTGGTCAGACTACATGTGGTTTGTTAAGACTAATTTATTTTGGCAAACGAAAAACTTTCATATCACTACATTAAATTAAACTCTGACTTTCTTCTTCAACTTTGTCGATTTAAAGTAGTGATATATAATACGTAAAGAAAACAGCTCATTTTGAATTCTTGTAATTTTGCATTGTGTGCATTCAGATAGTGCACAATTTATTATGAAGAGTACGCCATGTATAATATGTTACATTAATCTTTCTATCAAAAACATAATTTAGTTTATTTACAAAATAAAACTTCCTTACTAGTAGATAATATTACAGCAATCATAAATTAATATTAATTATTAATATATTTTGACAGTTTGACATTTTTCAATCATGCAGGAATTATAAATTAATATTAAGTGCATTTTGACAGTAACTTTTTGGATTTTTTCAATCATTACAGTTTTGGTTTCTTCAATCATCCAGAAATCATGAATTAATAATTATGTTCAAATGTTCAAACTTTTTGATCTTCTAATGATTATGTTACAGGTTTTTGCTTACACCAAAATCATTTAATAAACAGAACATTACAGTTGTTGCTTAAAGATATAAATTTTATCTTGAAGTTTTGAATTTAT